GAGTGGGGGGCGTGGGCCAATTAGGAGATGCTGAGAATTAGAAAAGAACCTCTAGGGTATCTTTACTTTTATATATTCATGTGTGTTAGTTCCTTGCAATTACTTGACGTTTATAGCATAAGGTTGGGACCTTTGCTTAAATTTGGTGCAGACAAAATTTTCCTATACTTTCTGTTCATTTTAGTGGGTCTTAGAGGAATAACACATTTGCACTTCTGTTTCCTTCCTTTCTCTCTTTGATTTTAATAGTTTGCCTACATTAATGATATTAATCTTTTGTTATACATATTGAACCCCAGGTTATGTACTCTTTAATTTTCTTTTCAATATTCTTTTTGACATTCAGACATTTTAAGTTTTCATGCAATCAATTCTATTGATTCTTTTATCGTTTCTGCCTCGGGTTATGCCAAGAAAAAGCCTTTCCCACTTTGCAATCAGGTCAGTTCTTATTCTCTACTGTGTTCTAATGCTTCTTAACAATTTTGCTTTTCACATTTTAGCTTGCACCCATTTGGAATTTGTTCAGATATGTGGTATAAGGCTAAATTTACATGATAACTTTGTTTCCCCCAAATGATCAGCTAGTTTTCCCATCACCTTTGGAAAGACTGTCCATGCCACACACTATATTCTCATTTATTTATTTGGGTCTCTTTCTTGATTATCAAGCTTCTTCCATTGCTTTGCCTATCCTGTGCTTTTACCTTCTTATTTTAGTTATTGTAAATTTGTAGTATATTTAATATTTTGGGGGATAAGTTCTGCCTCATTGCTTTTCTCCTGAATCTTCAAAGTTTTCTCAGCCTCCATAATTGCCTTTGTCACTTACTTCTAGGAGAAAATGGACTTTGTTGGCATCTAGGAGGGGCAGTGAATGCCTTCCTTCTGGGTCGGCCCCCAGCTCACATACTCAGGGTGAAAGAACTCCAGCCCAGGCATGACCCATTTCTTGCCTTGGGTCTGATTTGGTTAAAATCAGTAATGGGCTGATTAGGAGCTGGAAAGGAGAGCAGATCCAGCATTCCAGCTGGAATGGGCTGGAAAGGCGAGCAGACCAGTCAAAGACAGCAGTTTGGGGGATGGGACACAGCACCTTGGAAAATATGGCTAGAAGTAAAGTTATCCGCCTGCAATGCGGGAGACCTGGGTTTGATCCCTGGTTTGGGAAGATCCCCTGGAGAAAGGAAGGGAAAGTCTACCCACTCCAGTATTCTGGCCTGGAGAATTCCATAGGTTGTATAGTCTGCGGGCGGGGTAGCAAAGAGTCGGAGGACATGACTGAGTGACTTTCACTAAGGTTATTTAACCTCAAAAATGCAACAAAGAAACAGTCTACTCAAGTTCAGGCTTTTGCATTCAAGAGAAAAAACAGACTATTTATAAGGTGGGGAAGGCCGGGAGCAGGCAGAACAGAAAGCAGTCTAGAAGTCATGTGTTGATTGAATCAACTGGATGGTTGTGTCCTGTTTAGAACTGGAAGGACGGATGATGCTGGGGCTGAAAAGGGGCCACGTGGCACAGAACAACCAGGGGAGGCCTCCCTGCCCTGCTGTGGGCCCGCCTTCCCTAAACTGGGCACACGCTTTGTTCTGCTGTTCCTGGGGTGGGTGAGGTGGTTTTAAAAGGTTCTCCAAGAGATTAGAGGACCTAGAATTATTCATCTCAGAGAAGAGCAAACAGAGGAATAACTTGAAAGAGCCCTGAGGAGGGTTCTCACACAGAAAAGAGTAAACAGTTAATCTCCCTCTGGGCTGAAAACAGGAAATGTGTGATAAAAACCACTTACTTTCCTGCAAGAATGAAATGTCACCAATGAAAGGGCCTCTCAGCTATAGCCTGAGGGTTGAGTGTAGAGATACTTGGAATGTTTGTGTTCCCTGACCAGGTGGGGAACCTGGTCAGTCTGCATTTCCCCTCTCCCCATTGCTAGCTGGCTGCAGGAGGCTAGCCACTGTCGGCCTCAGTGGTGTTATAGAATTTCTTTCTGGCTGCCTCTTGGAAAGGTGGTGGACTTTTCAGTACTGTAGGGTGCAGTCTTAACTGTAAGTAGAGGCTGTTCCAAGTCACCCCCAGGGCCTTTAACAATGCCACAGATTTACAGAAAACATGATTTGTATGGCCACTGTATCTGCGTGGTGTTGGAAGAAATTCTAGACTCAGTGTTTAATAAACACTACAGGAAACTCTCCCTTGTCCACCTGGCCTTAGACTCCTGGGTGTCCCGGTGGTCCACTCTGGGCTCTCATTTCTCAGATGCCTTTATACCATCTCTCTGGGCCGCCATGTGAGCGAAGTCGCTTGAGTCGTGTCCGACTCTTCGCAATCCTCTGGACTGTAACCCACCAGGCTTCTCTGTCCAAGGGATTTTCCAGGCAGGAATCCTGGAGCGGGTTGCCATGCCCTCCTCCAGGGGATTTTCCAGACCCAGGGATTGAACCCAGGTCTCTTATGTCTCTGGCATTGGCAGGTGGGTTGTTTACCACTAGGCCACCTGGGAAGCCCCTTCTGTTGATGACTGACTCCATGTCGCCATCACAATTTGCTCGTAAGCTCTGGACCACATTTCTAACTGCCTGCTGGACGGTTTCACAAGGACTTCAAACTTAACAGGTCTAGGAGCGAGCTGCGGCTGAGCCTTCCCCCAGACCTTGGTGACTGACGTCACCACTGACTCAGTGACCAAAACCAAAGCCCAGGTTCCTTCCCCTTCCTTATCTTCCACCACCTTCCATTCTGTCTCTGCCGGACGTATCTCCTCCATCTGCCCTCTTTTTTCCATTGTGAGCACCATCACTTGCTTCAGGCCTCAGACACTTCTTACCTAGGTTTTGGACAATCTATGCTTTTGCTCTTTTCCAATTCATCCTCCAGCTGGCAGTCTAAATTGTCTTTCTAAAATATACATCTGCTAAGAATCTTTAGATGACTTCTCCTTATTTACAGGACCTCAGATCTGACCTAGACACACACCACTTAATTTTTATTTACTTATTTATTTGATTTTGGCTGCACTAGGTCTTCCCTACTGCATGCGGGCTTTCCTTAGTTGCGGAGAGTGGAGACTACCCTTTTTTGTGTTGATTGGGCTTCTCAATGCAGCGGCTTCTCTTGCTGCAGAACACAGGCTTTAGGCACATGTGCTTCAGTAGTTGTGGCTCACGGGCTTAGTTGCTCCTCGGCATGAGGGATCTTCCTGGACCAGGGATTGAACCCGTGTCCCCTGCATTGGCAGGCGGATTCTTATCCACTGTGCCACCAGGGAAGTCCTACATTTCTCACTTTATTTTCTGCCTCTGCTGAGCTGGAACTCAACCTTTTGGCCACACTGAACTCCTGCTCTTCTCTCTCTGCATGCACTCTCTCTCACCTCCCGCCTCTGAGTATATCAGTTTCTGTATTTGATAGGCTCACCCCACTGCCCTGGGTCAGGAATTCTTCCCCCGCATTCCTACCACTCCCATTATTGTAGCTCCAAGCACCACCTGTTTACAAGACTCTGCGATCAGACTTTGAGCTCCTGGAAAGCAGAAACCATGTCTTCCATGGCGGTTTCTCCCAGCCTCATATAGAGGTGGCTAGTAAATATTTGTTGAAAAGCAGTGTGTAAATAGCATATTCAGTAGAGCTTTAAGATCTATCTTGGAAGGTCTAAACTTTTTTTTTCAATTATAATTTGAATTGAGAATTGCTACTCCAAGTCTATTTTCTAATTGGGTTAAAGAGTCTTGAGTGTCTGTTTTGGCTTTCTAGTTCTTAATTCCACTGTGGCAGCACTCAAGGGAATTTCGGGGGGACTTCATATTTTATTTTTTCTCTTCCTATCTCTCTCTATAACTCTCATCCACTTGATACCACTGTTGAGAAGATTAGATGAGATGAGGCATATATAGGACACATCTATATATGTGTCGGGCACCCAGCACATATTAGCTGTGTGACCCCCAAGGCAGAGTGGTGGCTGCTATGTTCATACTGTGTATGTGACTCCCAGTTAGATGATGGAACCCTGGTGTCAACCAACCAGTGCATTCTCCTCCCTATGAAGTAACTATTTGGGAAATCTGGTTGCTGGGGAGAGCAAGATAAGGACAGACAGCTGTGTGATTATAAAGGCTCTAGAAGTCTAGGGAATTCCCTCACAGTCCAGAGGTTAGGACTCCATGCTTTCACTGCTGAGGACGCAGGTTCAATCCCTGATCAGGTGGCTGATTCATGTTGATGTGTGGCAAAAACCATCACAATATTAAAAGTAATTATCCTCCAATTAAATTAATTAATTAAAAAAATTTTAATGAAAATAAATAAAAGGATAATCATGCACACACACAAAAACCCCTGGTCAAGGAACTAAAATCCCACAAGCTGCTCGGAGCAGCCAAAATAATAATAATAATAATAATAAACTTTTCCCAAAGGATCTTAGAAGTCGGATATGCTGGTCTCCTCACCAAACAGGAACCTATCTTCCAAGATAATTGAAATGACCACAGCATCCACTCTCTGTTAGTGCTGGGGCATCACTTTTTAAAAGAATTATAATAAAAGATATACAACATAAAATGTACTATTTTAATCATTTTTCAGGGCACAAGTTATTGGCATTAAGTACATTCACAGTGCTGTAAACCATTACCATGATCTATTTCAAAATGTTTTCATCACCTCAAACAGAAACTATGTTGACCATTAAGCAATAACTCCCCATTCCCTACCCACACCCTCGGCCCTTGGCAACCTCCAGTGTATTTCTGTCTCTATGGATTTACCTGTTCTAGAGATTTCACGCAGGTGGAATCATGCAATGCTTGTCCTTCTGTGTCTGGCGTATTTCTCTTAGCCTCATGTGTTCAGGATTCGCCTGTGTTGGAGCGTGTGTCCGAATTTGCCCATCACTTCTTTCATGAAAACTTTCCTCTTGCTGTCCCATGAGGACCACTTTCTTCATGTCTCAGCTTGTTCTGATCACATCCGTTTTCTTCTTTGCAACATGTTTTCAGAGCCTCCCCTTCCGGAAGTAGACTTTTTCACTGTGCATGGAGGGCCTCTACCACGCTTGCGACTGAAGAAAGCCACGGAGAAAAATGGACCCATCGGGTGAGTAGAGGCCTCTTTCCCATAGCTGTCCAGTGGTCCCATGAAGTGTTTTGGAAACACTGATTTCAGTGAGGATGAGACTTCTATTTAGGTGGCTACGATGCAGTGGTTAAGGCAATGGGCCTCTTTTTTTTTGTTTCCCTGGGCACAGACTAGGCTTCCCTGATAGCTTAGTTGGTAAAGAATCTGCCTGCAATGCAGGAGACCCCAGTTAATCCGTGGATTGGGAAGATCCCCTGGAGAAGGGAAAGGCTACCCACTCTAGTATTCTGGCCTGGAGAATTCCATGGACTGTATAGTCCATGGGGTTGCAAAGAGTCAGACACGACTAAGCAACTTTCACTCACTGGGCACAGACTGAGCCTTTAATTCCAACCGGCACCCTCCTTAGTGAATAGAGAGACTTTTAAGGGACCAGAGATGAGCATTTGGGCAGCTGAGCTCGAGAAACTGAATCTGCTCCTTTGGTCACTGAATAAGCATTGGCTGGGGTGCCTGTGACATATCAGGCAGTATCCTTTACACTCAGGCCTCCAGGTATATCCGTTAGTGATGGTGGATCAGGAGCATCATTTCACTTACCAAAAACAAAATGTGTTTTCCTTTATTTAAGGGTGACCTTGGGGTGTGTGTAGTGGTTTCTGGGAGAGTCATTTGGATAATTCTTTTAATTCATTCAAGTACTGAGATGTGGGCAAGGCGTTGTGTTGTTAATAACTGCTTCTGGGACTCCAGATGGTATTAGGGTGGAAGTAATTTACCTCAGGTGGTGGACTACGTTGTGTTCAATTAAGCTTTTTGTTTACACAGGTCACGGCAGGGTTAGGAAAGCAGAAACAGTCCCTGTTTAGAGAGGAAGATTGATGCTCATCTGGGGAGATGAGCAACTTCCTGACAGGAGTCTGGAAAAACGGGATAGATGGTCTTATCTGCAAAACAGAAATAGAGACCCAGACATAGAGAAAAAATGTATGGACCCCAAAGAGGGAAAGAGAAGGGTGGGATGAATTGGGAGATTGCAGCTGATACATATACACTACTATGTACAAAATAGATAACTTATAAGAACCTACTGTATAGCACAGGTATGGGAAGGAAATCCACAAAAGAGGGGATGTATGTCGATGTATAGCTGATTCACTTTGCTGTGCCGTGGGAACTATTACAACACTGTAATTATACTCCAATAAAAATTAACTTTAAATAAGAGGAGATGGCAATAACCTGCTTCCTTGACCTAACCCACACTACCTATGTCTCTCCTGACCCTTCAGTCTAATGACCCTACAGTACAATCAGGGTAAAAGTCATGAGATATCACAAAACTGTCAAAAGAAAGTCTAGCAAAATTATCTGTGTGTGTGTGTCCATTTATAATGAAACTTGGGCTCTTTGTGTCTGTTCGTTTGAGCTCAGTAAATGCTCAAAGGTCTTTGCAGGCATGTGTATGGCCTAAGTTGCTCTGTGTCTTAATTCCTGACAAGTTACTGGAAGGCATTGTAATTCTGTGGCTGGAAGGAGAGTGGAAGTCGTGACCTCAGTGCCTGAGAGAATGTGCAATACGGACGTGATATTTAGGCCAGGTAATTACGTAAGGCAGAAGGAAAGCCAAATGGCAGTCTACCGTGGTGGCTCTGAGCCGGCCAGCACCTCCAAAACAGGAAGTGGAGCTCTGTGAGTCATCTGGAGGGCGGTGGTGAGAAAGAGGGGAAGAGTCCTTCTGGAACAGTCATGCTCTCCACAGCCACGGCTGCTTCCCCAGTGTCATCGGCACCGATTACCATTAGGATGTTGGGGTGGTTTCCTTGGCCTGACTACCTGGTTTGAGCTGGGGGAAGCAGAATTGCCAGTGGGTGGCAGCCCAGAGTCTGCCGTGTGCATTATCCAGGATGGGGGTGTGGGGCAGTGGTTTGGGCACTCGGTGGAGCAGGGGCTCCGGCCCCACGCCTCCCCTCCCTGACCGGGTGATCTTTGGAGGATGATGCAGCCTGTAGCCTGGCTCCCCTCATGGTTATGTCACCGACACTTGCTAGATTCCAGGAATCACCTAGGGTGCTTTATCAGCCACATGAATTCTCAGACTCTATTGGAGATTATGATTGAGTAGGTCTGGGACGGGGGCTGGAAATTTGTACAATTATCAAGCGACGTGGGTGGTTATGATCATACTAACTGGGGAGACTACTTTATGCCTCTTGAATGGTACCTCTCCTGGGAAATGTTCAGAAACAGATGAGTTCAAATGAACCTTGAACTTGCACTTGAACATCACTACCTACATGGTAAGACGAGAGGGACTTAAAGATGTGCTTACAGACTGCATGGAGCCTGCTGCCCATTTGCTTTTTTACCTGTGTCTGTGATTCATAGGGGTGTCTTCATCTTCAAGTCCCCAGGAAAGTTTGTTGTTATAGGTGTTCCTTTGTAGGCACTGAGGCTTAGTAAATGTTTACCGCTGGTGGCAGTGACAAAGCATTGCCCTACGGGCTTTACTTTGTCATTTTTGTACCAAGCTCATTGCTGAAAGTGAAACCAGAAACTTTGTGGAAATCAGGGGCCTGAGGACACCTAGGAATTTGGGGAGCCTGGTGGGTGGATACTTTCTAAATCCAACACCTGCTATTAACTTAGTAACTCATGGGCTCTTAGGAAGCAGGAGATGGGGCATTAGGAATGTGGAGCAGGAAGTGTATACTTATTGGTAAAATAGCATTACATGTGCTAATGAGTTTGGGAAATTATCCTAGTCATATTTGGTGCTGATGCGTGTTTTTCTTCTTTATTGAAACTTCAACTCAAGAAACATCAGTGAGGAGTCAGTCGTAGCCAAAGAACTGTGCAAAGATTCGCAAGGATGCAGAAGTAAATCATTCAAGTCCTTACTATCAAGCCCGAAAGAGAAAGCAGACATCCCAAAACTTACTAGGAGATGAGCCCAAACAGACGGAAATAGAAAGAAAGATGTGATTTGTTCTCAGAGTGTTTTTGTTCTTACACTTTCTTTCACTGACAGATTCTTCTGTTTGGTGGGATAAATAATCCTGAAACATGATAAAATGAAACCAGATTGCTAGTGTGTTTCTTTGTCCACATGTAGGGAACATACAAGATTTTCCCTTTCCAGCTGTTGAAGGATATTGTCGGACTAGATGAGTTCACGGTGACTTTACACTCCATGCTTCTCATTCATTTCATAGGAACTTCGGTCTCAGTCCATGAACTGGAGGGAGTGTCTGTCACATGAATTCTGTTTTAGGCTCCTCATGTGATTACGTGGAGCCTTTTGGCAGACTTAGTGCACTAACCCTTGTAGGCAATAGGCCTCCATGTGACTGCTAAGCACTTTCCCCAGCTGGACTTTGTTTGCCCACGAGAAAAATCACTGATTAGATCAACTTTATGACACATGTGCTCCAGGCAGTTTACCAGGTAGCCATCTGCAGCCAGAACTTAGATCACTCCCCCAGTGTCGTGAAGCTTGAACACTGTTGGTTCCAACTGGAGTTCCATGACTGTTGGAGCTGTCAGATCGTGAAGCCCACATGGACAAGGACTTTTATCCAGTGTTACATCTCCAGCATCTAGCAAAGTGTCGATCTCATAGCTGGTGCTCAATAAGTATGAATAAATGAAAGAATGACCCCCCGAACCCAAGCAAGGGTCTGATAGACATTTTCTTTTCTCTTACAGTTCATATCAGGTGTTAGTGCTTCCCTTGGCCCTCCAAAGCACATTTGCTTGTGATTCTGAAGAAGCTGCTTCATTCTTTAGCAAAGCTTCTGAGGCCAGTGGATACGTGACTGCAGAACTGCTGGCCAAGGATATTCCCGATGATGCCATGGAGATATCTATTGGAGACAGGCTGTACTATGGGAAATATTATAATGCACCCTTGAAAACAGGGCATGATTACTGCATTATATTACGAATCACAAGTGAATGGGATGAGGTATATTTCTTTAAAAACTCTTGTGAATTTGATATTTTCCTCTTCATGTGAAATTTAAATATTTGAACATTTGTTTTCCCATATCTGAGATGAACAGTGCATGTAAGAACCATAAACATGTACTGAACCCTTTTACTTTATAAAGGAGGGGCAGGTGAAACCTTTCTGGAGGTGGATATTCTGAACTTGCTGGGGGAACCTGTTTGGATCTGTGTTTGTACTGAATTTGTTTTGTTTTTTCCTAAGCTTTATGAATGCCCTCATCCTACTGCATTGCGGAAGCCTGAGCTGGAGTGGAACATCTAGATCTTTCTGCCACTTCCCTGTACTCCTGCCAGGCTGCTGCCTTCCCTCATTCTCTGGGAAGCAAGAGGGAGGGGCAGATCATACTCAGCACTATTTTCTGGCTCTATTCTGCTTCCGTTACTTCCCTGGCTGTTGCGTAAGCCCCACTCTCATCTCTCAATCCTTAAAGAGTCTATGTGTTTCTAGCAGTGGTTCTTTCTTGAGGTATGGAAACTCATGAGAAGCATGAGAAACACGAAAAGATGAGACATGTATACTCCTTACAGAATGAATAATTATAATGAGCTGGACAAGCAGAATAGCCAGAGCTGAATTGATCAGTCAGGGGTGGAAGAGCTTCTGGAAGGAAAATTGTCATGGTTGCCCTAGGATAACTCAAAGTTTGATATCAATTCATATTGGTTGGCAATGAAAACTAGAAAAATTATATTAATAGAAACGTCTCTTGACTGATGAATTTGAGGCATCTTGCATGTAAGTTTCATCACATATTTGAAACTGAAACATGCTATTAAATTTTCTATAGGACACAAGTCAAATGTGCCATTATCATGCTTGATATAAAACTAAGACTATGTCCAAGTAGCAAAAAGGTCTGGTGGTGTTTTGTGACAATTATGTAGGGATTAAAAATTGAAAGACTAAAGTCCAGGATATATTGCCTTTAGCTTGTTGAGAGGTATTTATGACTGAGACAAGGCCTCCTTGCTAGAATATCTCCTGGAGATTCTGAGTTGGTATCTCTAGCCATAGACGACACTGGCGGTAGAGTGTGTGTGCAATTTAGAGATTGCTCAGAGCTGCTGCCTCAGGCTGAGACTTTGATCTGGGAGGGTGTATTAGTCAGCTTGGGCTGCCATTCCAAACATGCCAGTACTGCCCTTACTAGAACTTTGTAAATTGGGAAGTATGAGTTTTCCAGTTCCCTCTTTTTGTTTTTCCTTTTATGTATCTGCCCCACTAAGTAACATTACCATGTTCCTAGTTGCCAATACAGAAATCTAGGAATATTTCTCGTCTTTCTTTTTCTTATCTTCTTATGTAGTCTTCTATGAAATTATGTCAATTATGTCACCTTAATGCCATTTAAAACCATCTTTTCTCTCTTTCATTAGCACTGTTTAGCCTTTGACATCTCCCTTCTGAACAGCAATTGTCTAACTCATTGTCTTGCCTCTTCTTCTACCTGTACCCTTGCTCCATACTACTGCCATAGTGAGTTTTATAAAATGTACATCTGATCAAGGCACTATATTTTAATGAGCTCCCTTCTCTATCTGACCCTGTCAATGTCTCTCCTTTAATATACTCAGTTCCCAGTAACAGTCTTGCTGTTTGAGGTCCTTTTTCTTCCCCAGTATCTTGCAATACTTCACTGGTTACTCTTGCATATTATCTTTTATTAAATGCACTTGATGCAAGGCTTCCCAGGTGGCACTGTGGTAAAGAATGTGTCTGCCAATGCCGAAGACACAGGAGGGTTCGATCCCTGGGTTGGGAAGATCCCTTGGAAGAGGAAATGGTAACCCATTCCAGTATTTCTTTCCTGGAGAATTCCATGGACAGAGGAGCCTGGCGGGCTACAGTCTACAGGGCCACAAAGAGTCAGACATGACGGGACAACTGAGCTCAACAACCGTCATCTAGAGAAGTGAAGTATTTGTAATCCCAAGCCTTCTCATAGCCTTGCCCATAAGATGCATCACTGTATCTTGCTGAACCTGGATGTGACCTTGGAATCCTCTTCAACGTCATTCTCCAGGCAGTCAGTGCCAGTTGCTGAGAGCTAGCAAGGGGAATGGAATTCACCTCCGTCCCTGCTCTTTCCCTGGAGTGTGTGCTTCCTGAGATCCATTGGAAAGCTTTAGGGTCATCATTCCTAGGGTCACTTCTGTCTCTGTTGCCCTGCTAGACCCTTTGAATGCTTGGTGATCATGAGGCAAGATTGTAAGATGTCACAGCTGAATGAGACTTTTCTTTTTTGGCCACACTGCACAGCATGCAGGATCTTAGTTCCCTGACCAGGGTCTGAACCAGCAACCCCTGCAGGGGAAGCGTAGAGCCTTAACCACTGATTGTTTTTGCTCTTTAGTTGCTGAGTCATGTCTGACTCTTTGTGACCCCATAGACTGCAGCATGCCAGGCTCCTCTGTCCTCCACTGTCTCCCAGAGTTTGCTCAAATTCATGTCCATTGAGCTGGTAATGCTATCTTAACCACTGAAGCAACAAGTAAGTCCCCGGGATGAGACATTAAACATCATGTTGTCCAAAATAAGAGATAAAAACCTTAGGGGTGTTATTTAAACTGACGTCACGTGCTGCCCAGTTATATATGTTGCTGTACTTGCCTTTACAGGTGAGAAGAAGTACCTGTGCAGTCTGGGCTCATGTAAAAGGTAAAACCATTTTCTGTCCTCATTTCTCCTCTGTTCACTCAGCAGCATCAAGTGTCTGTTAACGAGATTTCTTTTTAAGTTGTCACAGATGATGGAAGCACATCTCCGACTGGCCATAGCTGAAAAAGATGGGGGTGGTGGGAGCGCATGGAGTCAGAACCCAAGTGGCATCACCAGGAACCGGGACTGGGCACTTAACACCATGAGTAGGACTCTCCCTTTCTTTCAGTGTGACCTGGCTTCACTTTCTTCTACTGCGAACTACCTGGTGGGGCGGGATGGGCAGTAGCTGCCCCACGGTAGCCACGTCAGTGGGGACAGACAGTTTTTCAGTTCCAGGAGTGTCTTCTCCTAGGCTGGTGACTATCCATTGGATGAATCACTGTTAAGAGGAGATGGGGTAGTGTGATCAGCCTACCTGGGGTCTGGGGCTTACTGATATGGCTGGTTGGGGGGCAGATCAGTGTGATGGGCAGTCCCACAAGGGTTGCATTGAGAGGGGGATATGACCCCCACCAGGAAAAGGGGAACAGCAAACCATGTTGGCAGACCAAAGAGTTACAAACAGTCCACTACTTTCAACCATTTGGTTACTTCTCATGCACGCACATGCATTCACACACACACACACACACACACACTATTTAGAAAAACATCCTCCATTAATAAAGTGGAATTATCCTCCATATAACCAAAAATGGAACCCAAAAGGAAGACAGTCCAAAGGTGGATCTGTACTAAATCCAGGTCCAAGACCAGGGGATGATCCATTCCTCTTGACCTACTTAATCTAGATATGCTTCTCATGATCTGCTTAGCAATCTGTGAGTAAATGACAAATTAAACTGTTCTCAAATCACAATATATAATATGAAAGGGAAAGGTGGATAATTATAATAAATACATTCGTTTAGAAAGGAGGGAAAGGGCTTCCCTGGTGGTCTAGTGGTCAGGAGTATGCCTTGCAATACAGGGACACCGGTTTGATACCTGGCCCTGGAGGATTCCACATGCCATGGGGTAACTAAGCCTGTGAGCCACAACTACTGAAGCCCGTGCTCACTGGAGCCCATGCTCTGCAACAAAAGAGACCATTGCAACGAGAAGCCTGTACACTGCCGCTAGAGAGTCGCCCCCACTTGCTGCAACTAGAGAAAACCCTCGTGACGCAACCAAGACCCAGCAGAGCCAAAATATAACTAACTAACTAAATAAAATCTTTTTAAAATGGGAAGAAAAGATAAAGAGCCGTGCTGTGCAAGACTTCCCTGGTGGTTCAGTGGTTAAGAATCTGACTTCTGGTGCAGGGGACACAGGTTTGATCTCTGGTTGGGAAACTAAGATCCCACATGCTGCAGGGCAACTATGCCCGTGGTCTGCAACTACTGAGCCTGCCACACTCTAGAGCTCATGCATTGCGACTAGAGAAGCCAAAATGCAACGAAGTCCGCTGAGGACCCTACAGCTCAAACCTTCTGCTTCTGGGTGGGGAGCAGTGATCCGGGTGGAGGAGTTGCCTTAGGGATTGAGCTACCACAGGTCTTGTGTGCCAGGCTGGGATTTCCCTGGCAGGATATTTCTGTAAACCAGAGGGCAGCCAGCCACTGGATTTGACTCATAGGAATTCCATTAATTTGTAGCTAATACCAGAAATCTTGTTAAGTTTATGACCTTTTTGAGTCTGGACCTTTTCCTTGTGGTTCATGCATCCTAGCAACTGCCTGAGGAATTCTGCTCGTAGCCTGGAGTATCAGTTTAACTCCTGACATCCTGTCCCTCACCTCAGAGCAGCATAAAACAATAGGCTGGGCTGGTTAGGAAAAGCCCGCATCACCCTGCTTCCAGGAGGGTTCCACTAGATGGTGCCTTTCAACTGGGGGATGTGTTACCCTGTCGGTGGAGGGTACCTAGCAGGAAATGATTGGGAGGGACCTGGAGCACTAAGCTTCCTTCATTTGTCTGAAAGTGGAAGTTGCTCAGTTCTGTCCGACTCTTCGCAACCCCATGGACTACATAGTCCATGGAATTCTCTAGTCCAGAATACAGGAGTGGGTAGCCTTTCCCTTCTCCAGGGGATCTTCCCAACCCAGGGATCAAACCCAGTTCTCCCACATTGCAGGTGGATTCTTCACCGACTGAGCTATCAGAGAAGCCCCCCTTCATTTGTCTGCTTATCCCCTAAACTCACTTCCTATCTTTTTATCTCTCATCACACCAACTTCAACAGGGGTAGCGCTCATGGCTTTTCATCCGGGTATTGAGCATTACCTGACCGTCCGCCATCTTGGATTGCATATTGCCAGGGAGTGAGGGCCGGCCTCTCTTTCTTCAGTTTTCTTGTGAAAATAATTTACATATAATGTGTGAATTTAAGGTGTTTAGTGTGATTCGATTCATGTATATACTGCAAAATGATTACCGCCATGAGGTTAGTTACTGTCTCCATCACCTCACATAATTACTGTATAATATGTAATTTTTATATATATATAAAATCTGTGTATGTATGAATGTTTAAGACCTAGTCTTCTAGCAGCTTCCGAGTGTGTAGTACAGTACTGTTAACTATAGTCACCACGCTATACACTAGATCCCCAGAACTTCCCTATCTTACATCTGAAAGTTTATACCCTTTGACCAATATTTCATTTCCCCCGCCCCCCAGCCCCTGACAACCACCATGCTACCCTGCTTCTGTGATTTCAGCTTTCTAAGATTCCATGTGTAATTGAGATCATACCACTTCTGTCTTTCTCTGATTTAACTTCACTTAGCATCGCAAGTGAGGACTTCTCTTAACAAAGATGTGCGCCAGTACGTTTCTGTTTTCTGGTTAGCTAAGCCCCATTTCTTGGAATTGAATGATGGCCACAAGAAATAATCACACGTTCCAACATTTGGAAATTTTTCTACCAATCCATTCCCAAAAGCTTGACGGGTGGAAAGGAGTTCCTACAAGGAAAAGAGTTGCTTCTATCAGAAAAATGGAGGCATACAAGCATTGTGGATAGGCCCTTCAGAAACAATAGCTTCCAGAATCGACTGCTTTCCACAGCTGTTTGGTGTGAGTAACAAACTCAAACTAGTTAGAAGAAATGGCCAAAGAGCTGGCTACGGTCGTTCTACCAAGATTAACAGGAAAGATTTTGCTTTGGAAATATCTAAGTGGTTTTTGGCAATACCCTTTCCCCCTCATATTGAAAGAGAGTTTGAACCTTTAAATACAAGCTACTAGAAAGCTCTGAGATAATAGAAAACCCACTGTGGTGTTGAAATTCTGAAGGGAACGCTAACACAGATACATCTATGTAGAGTGTTTACTTGGGTGGTACACTCACCTGGCCGTCTCCTTTTGCAGAGAAGTTTTGGAGACTGCCTTTTCAGAAAGTAATCTGGAGAGAACTAGGATCCAAACTAGTCCTGAGCTTGTTTCGGTTCACTCGTGCCAAGCAACACCCCATTCTTGCTTTTGCCCACTGATGAATTATGCTATTTTACCTTTCACACATTCCCCTAAGAGGGCTTTGTGATGACGACCAGGGAGCCAGCAGTGGGTTTGATGGGAAATGCTGAGGCCTGAGCTCCCTTGCCCAAGTCCTGCTCGTAATCAGTTGAGTGTCTTGTAAATTGTGTTTAACTTGGCTGGTTCTACATTGCCTTCCTCCAAGATCTCTGCGATCCTTTCCAGCCACAAAGGACTTGAGCCTGTGTTTTCCTGAGTCATAGCACAAGATCATCTGATACGTGAGATGATGAGAAAGTGTACGTTCTCATCAGGGAACATTCTTTAGTCACAGGCATGAAACCTCTGAGTCATTTATGACTCCCTCTCTTTCTCTTTTAACCCACATTTTGCACTTGGGAAGGCCTCTCTGTCATTTCTGTGTTCACTCCCTGAGCAGAGGCCTTTGGACGACTGGCCAAGCCTATTTCTTATCTCCCATCAGAGTGTTCAGGGGTCCCCTCTTCCCTCCAGCCTATCCTCCCACCTGACATGTTACTAAGGTGCAGTACTGATTTTCTGATTTCCTCTGATGGTCCTTCCAGAGTTCTCCACGACTTTTTTTTTTTAATTATTTTGGGGGGAATTTATTCCTGTATCTTTTGGCTGCATTAAGCCTTTGGTGCTGCACACAGCCTTTCTCTAGTTGCAGTGAGTAGGGGCTACGCTTTCTTACAGTGCACAGGCTTCTCATTGCGGTGATTTGTCTTGTGGAGTGTCAGCTTGGTAGCTGTGGTGCACACGTTTAGCTACTCCGCGGCAGGGGGGATCTTCCTGGACCAGGGATCGAACCCGAGTCTCCTGCAGTGGCAGGCAGATTCTTAGCCGCTGGCCCGCCAGGGAAGTCCTGCCGGTACTTCTTAGTCTGGTTTCCAAGGCCTCAGTTGGACACCAGTGTACACTTCTGATTGCATCTCCACTCTTCTCCGTTTAAACCAACATGCCCTCACTTCTCTGCCTGTGTCCCTTCTTTCCTCTCCTTAATGTCTTTGCTCATGTGATTCTGTGCTTGCGTTCACCTGGATCACCCTACAGTCTTCCTGCAATTTCTGTTACAATCCCTCCTGTTCTTCAAGATTCAAATCAAATGCCGTTTTTTCCTTGACACTTTAGAGATTTCCTCAACAGGACAGGATCTCTCTCCCTCCCTCTCTTCAGCCATTCTACTGTACTTCCAAGCCACTGGAGCACTTGTCTTTTCTTACGCTTGAGGGACAGCATTTGAAGAGCTAGAGCAGTGCCTGGTAAGCTGTAGGTACTTACCCAAATTTATTGGATTGGGTTGAATGATTACTGGGGAACTAGTAGTATAGTCTGATGAAAAATGAAGCATAGTAGGTGCAATACTATCAAAGAAGCCAGAGAAGATTGGCATCCAGATATAAGCCTAGTGGGTATGTATATGTATGAATATGCTATGCATGTGTATATATGCATACATACACACACACTCATTTTGAACCTTCATAATTGTAGTAGGTAGTATTCTCTTAATAATACATCCTCACAAATTCCTGGGGTACACCCGTCTGCTCTTACTTATTCGTAGACTATTCTAGTTGTTTCTGTGAAAATATTTAAAGATGTAACTGAAGTCCCAAATAGGGAGATTATCCAGGTGGACCTGATCTTATCATGTGAGCCCTTTAAATCTGTGTCTAGAAGTCAGAGACCGGGGAATTTGAAGGTTCCAAGGAAGAGATTCGTTTGATATAATGATTTCTCCTACTGGCTTTGAAGATGGGGAGGACCACATGGCAAGGATGCTGGCAGCCTATAGGAGCTGAGCGGCCCTTGGCTGACAGCCAGTAATAATATGGGAACCTCAGTCTTACAACTGCAGGGAATTGAATTTAGCCTACAAGCTGTATGAGCTTGGAAGCAGATTCTTCTCCAGAGACTTCAGAGGGAAGTGTAGACCTCCTGACATCCTTATTTCAGCCCTGTAAGACCCTGAGCTGAGAACCCAGTCAGTGTGCCTGAACTTCTGACCCACGGACTGCGAGCTGATAAATGGGTGCTACTGCTAAGTCTATGGTAATTTGTTAAGCTGCAAGAGAGGATGGATTCAATAATTTACTGATTCATCAGGCTTTATTTATCCCTAAATTAGTTTTCTACTTTGATCTCCTTTGCCATCTTCTACTTCTCAGGAGTGACTTCCCACATAGCACTAGTGGTAAAGAACCTGCCTGTCAATGCAGGAGACAGGACATGTGGTTCAATCCCTGGGTCAGGAAGGTCCCCTGGAGGAAGGCATGGCAGTCCACTCCTATTTTCTTGCCTGGAGAATCCCACGGGCTGAGGAGTCTGGTGGGCTACAGTCCATAGGGTCGCACAGAGTCAGGCACAACTGAAGTGACTTAGCATGCACGCATGCACTCCTCAGGGGATTCAAGCAAGGGAACCCTAGAATAGCAGAGAGAAATTTAACATGCTAAATAGAAGTCACAGTGCTATTATTTGTACCTTTTAGAGAACAGAATTGTTGCTTTCAGAAAATGAGCCTGCTGGTGTAAATTCATGAAAAAGTCCATAACCATAGGAAGTCCTCAAGCTGTCACAAAATCTAAGAGTAGGAATGGGGCCTTTTAAACGGATACTTCAGTACCTGTGATATTTCCATTAGTGAAGAGGTTAAAGATAAGGCCAGGGAACCTGTCATTCCTCCTGAGCCCCATACCTCTTCCAGGAGCCACCCTACAGAGACTGGCTTAAGCCTAATGGATTAACTGGTTAAAGAACAAGTCACTGAGAATCTAGGATATACACATGTTTCACTCACTTGGGTTTCTAAAAGAATATTCTACAAGTGATTGAGACGAAAAATGGCATGAGATCATGGAAGGGAGGGTTAACCAGATGACAAAGCTTTGAAAAATGTAATACCCATTGGCCAGTTGTAAATTTACTCGGTGAGAAATTAATGTGGCAAGTCCCTAAAGAAGCATGTGGCTATACCATGATTGGATTGACTCATGTTCACAGAGCACATATACAGTGTAGAAAAAAAGGCATATAACCAGGAGCTGGTAGAACTACCAGCAAAAATCGTGCCAATATTAGCAATAGCTAACATTTGCCAATTGCTTATGGTATGCTGGGCACAATTCTAACCTGTCTGAACTCATGTATTTCTCACAATAATCTCATAAAGTGGGTACTGTGGCTATGAGTCCCATATTATTGGCGCATCCCTCAGTGGGGAAACTGAAGCCCAGAATGGCTGAATAACTTGCCCAAGGTCACACAGTTGGGAAGTGGTAGTGTCCAACACAGACTTGGTCAACCTGACTCCAGTACTCAAGCTTTGAAATCCCTTTATATATTTGGGGCTGTTTCTGGGCTTTCTACTTAAAAAAATTTTTTTTTAATTAATTTATTTTTGACTGCACCGTGTCTTTTTTGTGGTACTTGGGCTTGTCATTGTGGTGGCTTCTCTTGTTGCAGAGCACGGGCTCTAGAGCTCAGGTTCAATAGGACCTTGCTGTTTATCCATTCTGAATGTACGGATTACATCTACCAACAGGCTTAGTTGCCCCGAGGCATGTGGAACCTTCCCAGACCAAGGATCAAACCTGTGACCTCTGCATCGGCAGGTGGATTCCTAACCTCTGAACCAGCACGAAGGACCCTGGGCTTTCTATTTTGTTGTGCTGTATCCTTTCCTGTACTGATACTGCACTGTTTTCATATCTAGTCATTCAAGTCACTCCTGATTTTTTTCTTTATTAATTTCTAACTTAATCAGAGAGCCTCCTCCCATTTCATGATATGGCTTCTTAAAAATGTGAAGGCCTTTTCCTTCTGAATACCAAAAGCAGCCAAACAGTATGCATCATGCTTCTCTAGAAAGTCTCTTGACAACACTTTCTGAGGGAATTGTTTGCCTGGCTCTTTAGCAAAAGGTGTGTTCTCCTCGGCTTTTGCTGTAGCGGCTCCTCTGTAGAGTCTCCGGTAGACTCCACTGCTCTCAGGCCTGGTTGTAGAGCTCTGAGCCATGTCTGTAGATTCCTGCAGTGACGGAAAGGTTCTAAAGGTGTGTTGTNGAATTTGAAAGTGGATTTTACACTATTAGAAGTGTAATTTTGTTTTTATTTATTTATTTTATTGAAATATAGTTGATTTATAATATTTTGTTAATTTCTGCTGCCCAGCAAAGTGATTCAGTTATACATAGATACATATATTCTTTTTCATAGTTTTTCCACTGTGGTTTATCACAAGACGTTGAATACGGTTCCCTGTGCTATATAGTATGACCTTGTCGTTTAACCATCCTATACGTAATAGTTTGCATCCGCTAATCCCAAATTGCCACTCCATCCCTCCCTTGCCCCCTCCCCCTTGCCAACTACAAGTTTGTTCTCTATGTCTGTGAGTCTGTTTCTGTTTTATAGATAAATTCATTTTTTCA